TGTAAAAAATAATTTAAGGACCAAAAAAATATAAAAAATAGTTTATGAACCAAAAAAGTATAATTCAATAAAGTTGAGGGATAAAAAAGTGAAATTTAATGAAGTTGAGGGACAAAAAAGTGAAACTCAATGAAGTTGAGGGACCAAAATTAATATTTAACCAATTTTTTTCGAGTGCGGGTGTGAAATGTGACGGAACATTAACGGAATAGGAGATTTAACGGAAGTTAGTTTTCCGTCCAATTGGGTCCTTATTTGAGAATTTCATGGAGTTCGGGACCTTCATTGAGCGCAATCGAAGTTTGGGTCCGAAATTACGAATTTGGTATAAGTTCGGGTCCTTATGTCATATTTTTGCCCTCCTAATTTCCACTCTCTCTGTAAACCCAAAAAGCACCCGAAATTTCCACCAGGAACAAAGTATCCCCTGTTGGGACCCAATTCAGGGTCGGGGCCCACAAATCAGTTCCATGCTTTCCGAGTTTCGGTATAGAATTCGGGCAAGAGAAGGAGCGGTAAAGTATACGCAGATGTTAGAGAAATACCAGAGTCGATACGGTAATCGGTGAAGTTTAAATTTGGGTTAGAAGATATAGTTTTGAGTGCGGAGGATTTGGAGGGTTCGATCCCGCGCTGGGAGCAGTTCCCGAAACGGTGGGTTATCGTGATTCCATGTTTTTCGGCATTTTTTGCTGTGTAATATGGATAGAGTAAGCTTCTGCTACATTTTTCTTCTTAATTTAGGTTCCCATGAAGGAATTTGTTAATTCTTCTTTTATCAAATTTGAATAGATTTTGTTTTGCAGGTAAATATCCATGTCGGCAGAGTTCAGTTGGAGTCCAACTACTCTTGGTTTGATACAATCATCTTTCTTCTGGGGTTACCTTCTTACTCAGGTAATTCAATGTTTTCTTTTGAGGTCGCTTTCAGTTCTTATCTGAATGAGTACACTGTTTTGGGTTTTACTCTGATTGTGGTCCTCAGTGACAGATTGCTAGTGGCATATGGGCTGACACGGTGGGTGGGAACCCTGGAATCCTGACCTTCGCACAGATCTATTTTTTAGATGATTTGTCCCACGTCACAATTTTGATAAGTGAAGACTCCTTTCTTATTTTTCACACTTAATTTTTCATTAGTTTCCTTTTAAATTTAGAAATCTTAAGTAGTTGTCAATACCTTTCAAAAGGCCTAAATCTGATTTTGAATGGGTAATTATAGAGTTTAAGAAACCCTATTAAAAAAAAGCAATACTTGAGATAGAATAGAAAAGTACAATTTTTGACGCTTAACGCATGGTGGTGATACCTGCATTATGTGTCGACACCACACCCGAGTTGTTAACCTCAATTGTAATTTCTTCAACGGTAAAATGGCAGATCTGGTCCTTTAAATTTTACAAAATGAGCA